CCATTCTATAATCCTGGCCAGGTTCCCCAACAATCACCATATGGATATCAGCAGCCACCGCCACAGCAACAACCGATTTATGCGCAGCCACAGCAACCACAGCAACCACAGCAACCACAACAACCCGCCAGCTTTGCCGGTGGATTCTGGAATCCAGATGACGCCCCACCAGGTTTGTTGATCAAAGGTCTAAGATGTATTAAGTCCCCGATGCTGATAATGCGCTTACATCAATTATCAATTATTCATTTTTAGCTTATGACGGTCCCAAAGAAGGGTATAATGATGATAAAAAGAATTAGTAATGTCTTTCTGAGAAGCATGCACAAATTTATTTATTATTATTGTCATTATTATTATTATTATTATTATTATTATTATTATTATTTGCATGTAAAAATAATCGAGTTATCACCATCACTTTAATTTTTACTTATAAATAAACAATGATTGAATTCGTTACATTCATTCATTTTATATTATTGTACAATAATAATCGGTTAAAATAAACGACGTAAATATCCCGAATTTGGACAAAACGTTTGAATGCAAGTAATTTGCGCTTCTTCGTGTTGATCAAAAAATTTCATGGGGCCGCGGAATTTGAGGTATTTTACCGCCTGAAACATCGATTGGAACTTGATCAACGTCTCCACCGTCATTGGTGGCGCCATAAAACCTTAAAGATGAAGAACCAGCCTGACCGTCAGTCAATGCATCATTAGCATAAACCCTGGAATTGACGCTGTCTTCCTCCTCAAAGTAAATGCTACTATCTCGTAAGAATGAAGAGCGACGTCGCGCATCAGTAGTTACAATGATGTTAGCGACCCAGTGTATTTGACTAAAGAAAAATGAGGATGCGATTATGATGAGACTATATCCGTGGGTGGGTTTCTTGTGTTGAAACATGAAATTTGATTTGAAAATTATATACAATGAGGACAACTAGTAGATACGTGTTAAAAGTATTTTCACAAATGTGCGATCAGAATTCATGTCAGTATTTCTAATGCGTTTTGAACAAGTGAACAGGCAAAACACTTACACAACAAGCTCCACCCAATATCCATCGCAATTTCTGAAACCAAGTGGAAGAAGCTACTCCGACTACCACAAAAAATCTTAAAAATGCCAATATTTCCAAATCCCACTCCGCCTTCTTCCAATCCCAACGATCAGAATTTTCTTTATGAATTAAAAATAAATTACAAATACAAACAATGGCTAAATCCAATAAAGCTATTAAATATAATAAAATTACAAATTTTGGCCTCGGTGGCGGTTTTTTTTGGTCTCTTAGAGATACCAAAAGGAAAGGGTCGTCATATTCCTCTGGGGAACCTGACACCTCAGTACTAACGCTACCATTACCGTTGGGAAGAGCAGTATCGTCGAGCACACTCGAAGATTCTGCACTGGTCTGTGGTAAGTTGAAGCTTACGGTTTTGCGAGGTTCAGATGAAGAATCTTGTCTAACATACAGAGGTTCCGTTGCTTGGGAATTAATTGTTTCCATGGTCTATTATAGATTTTAGTTCGCTCCTTATGAAAGCAAAAAAAATCTGCAAAGTTTCATAAAATTACATATAAGGAATGATCCGTTTAGTGTTCTCCAGCGACGAGAGCAAGCAAAAGAATGTACGTAGTCAATCAAAAAAAGGGTCGTGCAGAAAAAAGTGCACACGATGTATGCGCATACGTCTGGGACGAAGATTACAAGCACGTGATATCCCGATTTATCAAGCGCGAAACACGCGATATATTAAGTAATTTAATGATAATATTTTAAGCCACTCTCATTATATCATTAACGTTCACCATTGATGATACATCATGGCTCCAAATTTGGGCATAAATGAGAACCGAAGAAATTTTAGGGTATCAGAAAAAAAATCTCGCTGACTTTATGGTCGAGGGAAAGAATATCGGTTTTCTGGTTACCTTATACATATCGAGAAATATAAAAAAAGCAATTGAACCAATCACCAACCTATTCAGGAGGCCACCTGCACACGTCGAGTTCCTCATTAAAAATTCCTTTATCGCAACACAACAGTCTACAGATAACCATGATCACTGTCGGAAGGTAAGGGATAACAATCGGCCTCAAAAGTAACCGAGCGAACACATTTGTGCCCCTATAAGAAATGCGGTTTAGCAAAAATGGAAATAAATGTTTAGTGTCATTGTCCAATGAACAACTATCATCGGATCGACCTTTGTATCACTCAAAAATTAATTTAATGTTTTGCACTGGGGCGACAGGAACTGCAGAAACTGCAGGTACCACTTTATCAATCTACCACTCTTACAAGATTCTTGATATTTATTGCTTCAAGAAGTAAACCCCTCAAAAAAGCTTTTCGAATTGACATCCAAAGTCTTCCATCAATAGAATTTCATTTTCATTTTTTTTTTTTTTTTCATTTTAGTATCCACCTTTTTATCACAAAGAATTATCACCTTTTTCCTCATTTCCTTTTGCCCACATCAATAGACAACCTTTCAGTTTGATTATGACTTGCACGAATGTTTGTAAAGGTTGGATCAAGCATGCCACCCTCATAAATAACTGTTACCCGGTTGGCCCTGAAGAAAAAGGCCCCCGATCAAACGAACTTTCTTACCTCATATTTTACGCAAATTCAAAGCCGGCAAAGCTTACAAAGTGCGGTGTCTACCTGGATAAAAGGGTTTCCACCGACGTCCGCAAGCGAAGAAAGCAGTAAGTTGAAAAGGACGGAACGAACAAATTGATCTTTCAACTGCTTCTAATATAATAATTCGCTCACCTCAGGGACACAGATATATCGTTGCAAATCATCAAAGCTCTTCTGGAAGAATGTAATAGCAACCTGAACTTATTTTCAAAGAATGTTCTCAAAATTATTTCGGCTTCACTAAGCACAAATGATATTGATGTGATTGCTCGTGCTGCCTCGGTGGTAAGCATGAGTGTACATACATGACCAACAAAATTAATTATTTGTAAAATTTAACTAAACTTAATACTGATCATACTATTTAGTTCATCACCTTCTGCTCGTACCATGACGGCTCCACTCTTGGTGTTGATGTGGAATTCACACAGATTTATGAAGATCTAATATCATCATTTGCTCAATACGCAATGTGCAAGGATCATAACACCACAATCGAGCAGAGGTTTGTATTTTATATATGATCTTAATGTTTACGTCTACGCTATGTGTCTAACTTGTTTCAACTTATAGGTATCGGTCTATTGGGCTTCATGCTCTTCGGGCGACCGCTACATCTAATGCTTTGTACACAACAAATGCTCGAACGCAGTTGCAACACATCATTCCGGCGATATTATATAATTTAACTGATGGGTTAGAAACTCTACAAGAGGCGTAAGTATTAGAGCGTTATTACCTTGGATGCGAAATTGAGGTCATCGGATTAATTTCACAACGTGATTTGCTTTAAGAGATCTGAATCCTGTCAATGATGAGCCTATCCCACAATCACGTCGATTTTCCCTTAGTGTCACCACCATTTCGTTAGAGGAAAACACAATTCTGGCGTACCATTGCTTGAAAGAATTATTTGAAAAGTCTGATCCTTCCAACGTGCATTATTCGCTTGAGCCCACAT